GACAACTGATATCAGAGTGGGTCATAAATAATAAGTTAGTACTTAATTCTGGAAAAACTAAATCTTTATTAATAGGATCAAATCATCAGTTAAAAGTTGAACCAAAATTGCAACTACATTTAAACCATATTCAAATGTAACAGGTCAAGGAGACAAAATTGCTAGGTATAACCCTGGATCATAAATGATCTTGGTCTAAACAAATTGATAATGTTGTATGTAAAATGGGAAGGGGTGTGTCACTTGTAAAAAGAATTGTAAAATATTTGCCAATAGATGTCAGTAGACAAGTTCTGGATGCTTTGGTTCTGTCGCAGCTTGATTATTGTTTGGTTATATGGTCTAGTGCTGCTGAAAAAGATTTAAACAAAATACAAGTAGCACAAAATAAGGCAGCACGATGTGCACTGCAGTGCTCCTACAGAACCAGAGTCACTGCAGTGCTCCTACAGAACCAGAGTCACTGAAGTGCTCCTACAGAACCAGAGTCACTGAAGTGCTCCTACAGAACCAGAGTCACTGCAGTGCTCCTACAGAACCAGAGTCACTGAAGTGCTCCTACAGAACCAGAGTCACTGCAGTGCTCCTACAGAACCAGAGTCACTGCAGTGCTCCTACAGAACCAGAGTCACTGAGATGCTCCTACAGAACCAGAGTCACTGAGATGCTCCTACAGAACCAGAGTCACTGCAGTGCTCCTACAGAACCAGAGTCACTGCAGTGCTCCTACAGAACCAGAGTCACTGCAGTGCTCCTACAGAACCAGAGTCACTGCAGTGCTCCTACAGAACCAGAGTCACTGCAGTGCTCCTACAGAACCAGAGTCACTGCAGTGCTCCTACAGAACCAGAGTCACTGAAGTGCTCCTACAGAACCAGAGTCACTGAGATGCTCCTACAGAACCAGAGTCACTGCAGTGCTCCTACAGAACCAGAGTCACTGCAGTGCTCCTACAGAACCAGAGTCACTGCAGTGCTCCTACAGAACCAGAGTCACTGCAGTGCTCCTACAGAACCAGAGTCACTGCAGTGCTCCTACAGAACCAGAGTCACTGCAGTGCTGGAGACACTGAAATGGTTACGTGTCAGACAGAGGTCTAATTATATTTTGTTAGAAATATTACAGTGACTCACTCACCACATATATTATCACAAAGGTTTATAGCGCAATATGCACAACATAACTATCAAGCACGACACACAATAGAAGGAAGGTTTGTATTACCCAAATCTAAATCAAATATGGGACAGAAAACAGTCATGTACAGAGCCATGGTCAGCTGGAACTCTTTACCGGTCCACATCATTCAGGAAAATTCTCAAGTACATTTGAAAAGGTTGCTAAAAAATTATTTAAGTATTATAAAGTACATTTGAACTGTGCCTGTGGCTATGTATGCATATATTATTATGTATACTTATTTGTATTTACTTTTGTTTGGCCTTAGGATGGCGATAATTGAATGACCATTTTAGTTTTCACTTCATACAGCACTTGCATGAAATGATGAGCTGTTTTGTTTTGTTTTAATTTTGTTGTATGTATGTCTATGTATGTGTTGTGTGTGTGAGGACCCCAGGAAGAATAGCCAATGCTCATGCTAGTGCTAATGGGGATCCTAATAAAGACATGAGACATAAGACATAACCAGTGTCGTAGGACCGTTTAGCGAGATCGTGTTTGTTAGGGTTAGTTAAGCCAGATAACTCAAACATATCCAGGGTCTGTTGGACTGGCTTCATCGTACAGGGCACTGTTGCCCATCAGCCCCCCCCTCCTGCACACATGCACTTAATCCGTTCCTTTGTTTCTGTTTCTGTCCTGCTTTTCCCTTGCTCATGCTTCACGGTCAGAGCCTTGTTTTGGGTGCTCCATGTAGTTCAGCCTACCTGACATGAAAAGTACTTTCTGTTTAGTCTGTCTAATCCTTCATTTGGGTCCACTCCACAGTGACACGGAATCAACCCTGTTCATTCAGTGTCACAGTGTTACTGTTGTAGAAGTTGAAAAAGTTGCAGACTACTTAATGCACATTTTGTAAAGCTAATTTAAATGTTGGATGGTAGCAGCGTCTTTATCATCATCATCCTGCTCTTCCTCCAGCCACAGAAACATGAAGAGATCAGCGACAAGTGTCAGGAAGCGTTATCAGAGTGCATTAATGGCCAGTGTAGGACAGCACAGTGGAGGCTAATGTGTGCTGATGGTCTGATTAACGACGTGAGGTTAATGTGTCTGGATGGAAACTAATGATGTTACAGGCCACTGTTTCCTCATGCTACATCACCGCACCACTGAGGGCACTGCGGACGAAAATGAGCCTCTGAAGAAAGAAGAATCAAGTGAAGTCATCGAAGATCAAACACTTATTACACCGTGAGTCAGGAGTTCATTAGTGCAGAGAGAATATGTGGGTGTGTTCGCACAGCCGTCATGACAGGCGTCAGCGTTCCATACAAAGTGCTGTGAATCTGCAACAAAGGTCAAACAGCCTTCTCACACTCAGACAGGAATGGGTGGTGGGTGAAAGATAAACACTTAAAACAACATCTTCAGTCATCCAGTATAAATCATTTATTGTGTTTTTTCGGAAGCTGCCTGAAACAAAATCTGTGTTTAAGACAAGCTAAAGTAATTAGGAAAGTAATTAAGAAATACTTAAGTACTCATGAATGTCTGAAGCTTCTATTTCTGATAAGAATACCAATGGAAAATATTTTTTTTTTTCATTGGACCCCTTGTAACTCCTAGGTCGGCCTACAGAAATACGTCATCCCTGCACCGCTCTATTGAGACATTATAGTAATTACAGAATATATATTTGACTCTAAATCAACCATCATTTACTCTTAAGAACAACAACACATTCATCAAATGACCATGTGTTGTCATTAGGCAACACATCTCAGCAGAGATCATTTCAGTGTGTCAATTTATTGTCCACTTATCTAAAGCTGTCACATGATTTATTATTTAATATATGTGGTGCAGTTAAAGGTACTGAATGTCACTACCGGTGAGTGATCTATCACCTTCATCATACAAACACATCCCCATGAAGACCTTCCATTTACAATGACTACTCTTTGTTTTACAAAGACAATCAAAGCAGGTGCAAATAAGAATGTATTGGTTCTTGTAGGTAATGTGCCTGAGGTCATTTGCTTTTCTAAAGCATACGTCTTTTGTCAGTGATATATTATTTAGCATGTATTTGTCTGACAAGTTATGGCTGCCTAAATCTTTATTAGAAGTCTATGGCCTTTTTGTTGTCCAGATTGCTTTTTAGTTTAGGGATGTCAGTCATTCTCGGAGCCTTATAAGTGCCATGTGCAGTGAAGGCAACACTTTGCATTCACTGTGTTTCTCACCTTCTTGCACGTTGTCCCCCTTTGCAATGTCTACATTTTTCTAATGTTATATCTTCATTTAATCATTACTTAATGAGCTATCTTTTTCTTTTACAAGTCTTCATTTGAGCCTTATTTATTATTTTGCACATGAATATATATTGTGATTTGTATTTTATTGTTGTGTTTTATCATCTTGCAAAATAACATACCTAAAGAAGATAGTGATCTTATCGATATCATGGTCCAAGGTCAGCGCTCGGACCGACACCACGGCCCTCTGAAGCTTACTAAATATAGTATCTTTCACAATAAGTAGTCATTTAATGCGTCTTAATCTCTCTCGCACATACAGCTAGGAAAAAGCCTACACTTCTCAGAGTTCCTTTTATAGTGTAATGTTATGTCTGCTAGCGAATGTCTCTATTCATGGTATCTTACATATTCAAGCAATGTTTAAACTAATAGAATCAAACTGTTGGGACCATTTAGTAATCTGGGTTGGATAGGTTCGTTTTTAGGGTTCATCTTTTGTAAGTTTGAAATGTGACTGTATAGCATTCTGATTGCAAACGTACATCCTGCTGTGTAACTGAAATGACTTTAAGATTCTTCTCTTCTTATGCTCCTGTGACGCTGTTATACAGTAAGACCTAGTACACTTCCATCAGGCTGTGCGCACCGTGATGCATCATCTGTAATAAATGTGAGAAAACGAGAGGACGGCTGCTGTTTTATTATATAGATATGCTTTTATTAGAAATAAGACACATTCATTTTGTGCTCTGAAAACTGTACATTAACAAAGAGGCGACCCCAGTAAATTAAGAAGGGCAGTGAGGGGAGGAGGGGGGGCAGGTTGGGGTGCAGATCATTGGGTCAGAGGTCGGAGGTCAGGGTTTCGACAAATACAGATCTGAGGGAGTGACTGGCGGTAATATCAAAACACACACTGTTACATTGCGATACAGAACACTCGTATAGTCCAGTACCCTGACAGGGCGAGAAGGGGATGGGAGGATCAGTATCAGAATAATCATGTTCATATTTATAATAATGATAACAACTATCCCCAAGCACAGTAAGAAAGATATTTATAGGCTAAAATCCATTCTGTAGAACTCTGTTGTAATAATTACAATGCTGTACATCAGGACTCCAAGTGAGCCTTGTGCTTTCTGTGTGCAACCTCTGATGACCTCTGCCTCATATACATCCTCGCCTTTAATCATACCATATATATTTATAGATTTACTCATTTACTCATCTTCCACTACTTGACACACACAGACACACACACACACGAGTACCTTCGCATCTTTGAAACCCCGTCATATGTTGCATGGACTGTACCAAGCCTGCTTGTACACGGAGAGAGAGTCAAACAGCTTGTGTCTGTTGGACACACTGATGGCGTCCATGTTGTCGCTGTGAGGTTGAGGACCAATTAGAGCGCTGAACTGCTCTCTAAGGTGTCCATCGATGAGAAGGCAACCTTCCATTTTGCTCAGGGAAATGTCTTCCATTTTTATTTATTTTTTTACCTCCTTTTCCTTTCGCTTGTCACTGCAAGGCAGAACTGGTCCCATCAGGAGGGAAAAGTGTTGGAGCCATAAGGATTGGGGAGAGTTGTGTGTGTGTGTGTGTGTGTGTGTGGCGCGGGGGGGGGGGGGGGGGGGGGGACATTAAGGGCCACATGGCTGAATATCTGGCAGTCTGCCTTGTTTGTTCCTTTTGAGATTGAAAAAATCAGTCCGGAGGCATCTGGAGCCTGACAGCGTTCATCATGAGAGAGAGCAGAACAGTGATGCAACGACACTCTCAAACGGAAAGAAAGACATAACCATGATTATAAAATGCATTTGATACAGGGGTAAACGTTGCCTTTGCTATGTGGTTTATAACATATGATGCTCATATAGTAACTGAATCTGCTACCTGGGTAATCTGTCTGCATGTCTGTGGTTTCTGAGACCATTTACAAGATGAGCAGACAAAAACAAACATCAAATGAGACAACACAGAAAGAGAGGTCATTTTCCTGTCCTCTCTTTAGTCGTTGAATTTATTTTCTGATATCGCGACGCTTCTCTCTCCTCCCCGCACTCCTCCCCCTTACATCCTCGCAGTTGGCTCGAGCAGCCTTTGATTAGAAATACTGAGCAGGGCAGTGTGTGTGTGGTGTGTCGGCTTGTTTTGTCTGAGCGCATTGGGAAAACAGGAAGTGGTGGGTGTGAGGCCGCGGTGGTCACACCTCCGTCTGAAGGTCCATGATCTCCTGGCCCACCAGGGGGATGGTGGCGCTGGTCTTCTCCCACTCCACAGCCTGAAGCTCCAGGGGGGAGGCGGCCACCGTCTCCAGGTCCTTCCTCACCCAGGAGGGGGGGGAGTGGGTCTTCCTGACGCCCTCCCACGCCCTTTTACTGGGGGTCTGCTGCTTGTCCTAATGGGAGGAGGACAAAGGATTTATTCCTCAGAGATAAAGAAAATCTCAAATAAGCTGTAATGTGAGTTCTTTTGGTGGACCTACTTAACTTCACGCCCTTGTGACAATGTATTACATTTATTTTAGGAAAAGTTTGACAGTTAAAAAAGAACAAGCTTATCAGTTGCTTGGAGTTAAATGAGAAGATCAGCACCACTCTCATTGTGTGATGTATGGAGCTGGAGCTATTGTTTTTAGCTTAGCTTTACATAAATACTGGAAACAGGAAGAAACAGCTTTGCTGGCTCTGTTTGAAATTAAAAAAAGTGTCTGGTAACACTGGAAAATATCACTTTTTTCCACGAGTCACCACATCTGCCAGCATAGACTCATTACCTGTTGTTTCAGTCTTTATGCTAAGCTAGGCTAACCACCTCCTAGCTTAAGTTCCATCCATAAGAAACATAGAGTTCTCATTTAACTCTCAGCAAGAAAGCAAATACACATTACAATTACTCTCATACATTTTAAACTATTCTTTTGTTACCAACAATGGATGTTGCTGGTTCAATCTGAAGTTAGTATATACACGTAGCTTGCTCGATTTACTAGGACCGGGATGCAACAATGATTGTGGCTGGGGCAACACATGTTGTTGCTGCAGAGCTCAACATGTTTGTGTCTCTGAAAGGAAGCTAACACTGTGTGATGCTGCAGGACTTTAACATATATATCTGTGTTCTGAAAACTATTAGCGGCACCGTTGATCTGTGAAGTTGGACTCGGACCTATGCCAGAGAAGACCTGAGTCCAAAGCTGTGAAACGAATGGAGATCAGGGGCAGCAGAAGGAAATGGAAATAATATGCTGCCATGGAATGGATGCAGCTACAGAGCCAACATGGATTCCTTTTGTGCCTGCTGTTTGTAACTAAACCAATTCAATCCTAACCTACTTTGTTTAACCCTAACCCTTCACTGATGTCTTGAATCTCAGCAGTACATTATGAACTGAACGGAAATGTAAGGAGGTATAGTTGTGTTTATTCATCTGACTGAACTGAACACTTGCATGGGCATGATGATCTTTACTTAGAAGAGATGTAACTTTAATTATGATTAGCTTGGCTGGCTCCACCTCCATCTGGCTGTGGTAATGCTCATTGAGATGATTAGGTATTCAAATATGTGCAGCTATTCCCCGTACCAAAGGTACATTGAGGTCATTTGAACTGACATAATCCTGTAGTGTAATCAGTCCTGTCTGTTTGGCTATTCCCACTGGATACTAGAAACACACGACATGCATAGATGCAGATGGTGTGCACTAAAAGAAAGGAGAAGGGACATTTCTGAATAAATACCTTTTGTGGAGAATATACCAAATCCAAAATAATATGTCTTGTGCTGGGTAGGAACACGTTAGTCTGTACTTATCTAGAGCCCACGCTGGCAGCTCATCTATATCATTATAAGTCTGTCTTTTGTGAGGCTTTGAAACAAGCTCTAACAAATTGTGCAATTTGGAAATACTCACATTTGGAGTGACAATGACTGTTGTGGTTTCTATGCTCACCCACAATTAGTTCCCTTGATGCCCCACAGCTCATTTTTCTGGCGCAGACATTGTTAGCAGGTAAAAAATGCAATCTTTGAAATGGCTGCACTAATAATGAAACAGGAAACTCCAGTCAAGTGTGGTGACTCGAGCTAATGATAAGAGGAAAAGGAGGACAACACTTGATATAGGAAGAGGGGGGGGCAGAACAGAATAAAGTGAAACTCTTTACACTCATGTTGGTCTTGTCGCTGCTGGCAGAGGACACACTCCATCTTTTGGCAGCTTTGGCATCAACAGGTGGAGATTCTCTATCCTTGTCTGCACTGTGAATCTTCCTGTTCAGGTCCTGAAACATGTCCTGGTGGCGTTTCCGGGTGTGCATAATCTTCTACACAGGGATATTGCACGTTAAGGTCAACAGCATCAATTCTACTTTGCCCCCTTCACATGTAATGTGTTGAGTCTACAGTCACACTCAAGCTTTGACAAAATCTGATAAATGTATGCAAGCATCTAGAGGTCTGAAAAGCTTTTTGGGATAAATCTAAAAAGCTCTGTAGGAATCAAAGAGACTCAAATTACCTCAAAGTCAAGCTCTGCATAGCGTGATTTTCGTCTCTGGGGGGAGATGAGACAGAGAGATTAAAGATGTGTCTTGATATTGTGTGCCTCGTGAAGAGACAAACGCTCGAGTGTTTCTTAACTGTTTCACAGTGCATCTCCACATCAGCCAGTGAAGAGAGGGTGTTTCTGAGACCCAGGGAGAGCAGTGAGTCATGAGGGAGGAAACAAGGTCTGCTGCTGGTCATTCTGACCCTGCTGGCACAAGTTTGCAACTAACAGATTGTGACCGAACGACCTTTAAGTCCTCCATCACGGAGTGGTGAAGGAAAAGCTGACCTTCAGGCTGACCTTCAGGCTGCCCGGTTGCTGCAGCTGCCGCCTCACTCGGCGTTATGGAAGTGTGTTTTGCCCGGAAGTGAAAAGACACCATCAGACAGATGTCGGGCCGCTGAGTGGCGATCACTGCCGGCTCATCCTCACGCTGCTGTCTGAGTACAGGCGGAGTGAAAGCACCCTCTTTACAGAGCATAGCCCTAACACTGCAATACTTCCTTGTTTTGAAGGAAGTACATGTGTTGCCTTATTTCTTTGCGGAGATGGGAAAATCTAAGCATACAAGAAATGTAGCACAGTGCTGCCCTGTGGAGTTTTAAGTAATGATCCTATTATTTATTTATAATCATTCAAATCCAGTTTGTTATTGTGAGGCTCCCTAGCTAAGTGAGTTATGAATCATTTCCCTAGGATGCATGGTGCTAATGCTGTGTTGCTCAAACAGTCTATGGCAAATATACATACAATATAAATAAATGGCAAACTTGTGACTGGCGTTTACTGGATGAATGGCAGCAGTTCATGCTAAATAATAAACCTACATAAAACAGTAAGCTGGCATGATGTGTGGCATCATTCACATTGATATATGGATGGGGAAAGGAACAGCAGTTGATGCTTATCAACCGTTGAACTGTAATGACCCTGAGAGTGGAAATGAAGACACATGTTATGGAAATGATGTAAAAGTTATTTATCTTAAAATAAACCAGTATTTAAACGCTGTGGTTATCTTGAATATAAACCATTTAAAAAAAGGCTTGATTCTTGAGAATGTATGGTTTAGCAGAACATTCATTAAAGTATGAAATGTGAGGCTGATAATGCATTACTTTGATAAAGATATGCTGATCAGTGGAGTGCTCTTACCTCCAGTGAGCTCATGGACAGTGTGGACACGGTTTCGCTCTTGGACATCACAGCGCAGTGTCCAGACTCCCCCCCCTCACACAGGCTGTTGGCTCCCTGCGAGTCTCTGGGCATATTCTGCAGGTTGTGTGCAGGTGAGTCTCTGTCAGCACACGACACACTGATCTGGTCGGCAGGCAGGCTCTTCAGCCCGAAGCCAGGCACGGGCTCCCCGTTGATGGGGTTAGCCAGGTGGATGAGCCGGGTCTGAGGCAGCTGCTCCATGCCGAGGTTATACTTGGCCTCCTCTTTCCCCTTGGCCAGCTTCAGGGTGCCGGTGTTGTTTCCCGGCAGAAGCACGTACCCGGGGCCTTTGCCCGGGCCCTCGGAGCTGCTGCCCTCCCCGGTCCCTCGCGGCATCTCTCCGTCCAGCTGCTTGAAGAGCTCTCCGTCACAGATGTAGATGGACTTGGCTCCCGGCAGCTCGGTGCTGATCCCCTTGGCAGGCCCCTTGTCCCTGCGCAGTGTCAGAGTGTGGCTGGTGTAGTCGGCCACATTCTGGAGGTGCACTTTGGCCATGCTGGCAGGCAGGGTGTTAAAGTTAGACCCCTTCTGATGGGTGAGGGTCCCGGAGGCCTTCTCCTCCCCCTGGAGAGAGGAGCGCTTCGTGGTGCCTGAAGGCAACAGAAACACAGAGTTGAACCAGGACCAGATGTACCTGCTTGGAGGCCCCTTTGCACTTTATGCATCAATATCACATGTTGTCAAGGAAACAATTTCAATAGAAATGTATTTAATCAAATGCAGTGTGTAAAGATATTGGGCCAGCTGTGCCTGCCTTTCCTCTTCAATAATACACCCTTATGTTTGACAGTTACAGAAGCAACCCCCTTCTAGACCTGGGTAAAGACCAGTAGTGATACATCCTGTAATAGACAGCTCATCAAAAGCAATAATACAATAGCATTAATATAATCCCATAAATATAAGAGTTTCACTTTAACTTCGGCCTGTAGTTTAGCCCTCCTGTGTTTGTGCCACTAAATGGGGGCTGTACAGCCCACTATGTTTTGTTAGTTTGTACATTAGACTTAATCCAAGTCACACAGTGGTCTTCCCCCTCCCCTCAGCTAGGAGCTGTAGTTCTCCTGTTCATTACAAAACAAAGATAAACAAATCTACTTATAGCTATCAATATGAAAAAGAAAAGTTCATAGTGATACATTTATGGCTAAAAAGCCTGACTGTTCTACCAAGACTCAAACATGGTTTCATCCTTACTTTCTAGCTCTATACGTATATACCACTAATTGTAATTGCAACAATTCTCACTTTTACCATGGGAACTGGTTAGGCTATGGGACACACTGCTATCTGCATTGAAATGATCAGATTAGTCACTGTCGTTCAGTCGAGACAAAGAGTGTTTTGAGGCAGCATGCAAACTGTCACCATGGTGACTGTTGGTGAGAGATCTTCTGCAAGTCAGATTCACAACTGTGACAAACATGATCAAACCTAACCCTAACCATAACCCTTACCCAGAACAAAGGATATCAAATATCTACTGTACATGGCTGACCCTGTGACCTGATCTCATCTCACTGTAACAGCTGCTGGCTCATGGCAGCATGTCCCTTAGCACGTCCATGCTGGTAAACAACATCAAGGCTTTATCCTCAACAACAATAAATATCCGCTCTCTGTGACGCCCCCTTCCTACTTGACATATAAGAAGAAACAATAATGTCTCTCTGTTCTTTTCTCTCTCCTCTCCATCAGGCCTGTCTGTGTCTCAATAGCTTTTCTGCTCCAGATGCTTTCCTTGATATCCTGTCTCAAGAGATAATCAGATTTTCACTCCCAGCGGATATCAGAGCCGCTATCTGATGCGGCTCTGTCGGGAGGGACTTCATTATACAGCGCCACTGAGACAGCTCTATTTATCTGCATATAACTGCTCATATAACTGCTCAGCACGCGCTCATCCCACTCCCATCAGCCGGGCTAAACTGCCTTTTGCAGCATTAATGTTCCGTATTTCTTTTGACAACAGCTCCTCGGCGTAGGGAGGCTGTGATGTTGATTGTAAGACACGAGTTCAGAACGGAGGGGGAACACACTGCACATCTGTTCCGACAACGCAGAGGAATGTGAAGCAGTCAGAAGACAGAGAGGAGGCACAAAGAGACATCTGTAGCTTCTGAACAGCCCCCAAAGTCAAACACACGCACACACACACACACACACACTGGAGCTTACCTGATCTGCAAGCTATATCCACGTCTTTCTCAAAGTCAGTCTGTGGACACACAACAAGAAATAGTGAATGAAGTGTGCACACTCTGCCAATATTGAATAATAAATCCTGAGAGGTGCAAACAACAAACACACCATGAGCTGAGCATGGCCGTTCTGGAAGGATCCTCCGGAGTCTCCGTTAGCCTCCTCCTGGCGGTCCACCACCCGGCACTTCACTGCCTCCTGAACCTGGAATGAAGCACAGATTCTATTCTTAGTTTTAGCAGGATATTTACATACATCAGATCCTTTTATAGAAGAGGCTCAACGTCTCCAGTCAATGAGACGTTGCCGAATGTTTTCAAGTGATGTCATAATACATGGCCTTCTGCCCCCCCCTGTTGACTTTATTTTTGAATAGCAGATGTCTGCGACCGGCTATAGTTTGTCGGCTTAGTGAGCGTGTGTCTCTGCTCCGATCGTGAGGTTTACACTGCTGCCCCCCCCCCCGCCCGTCTTGTAACACGGAGCCCGTTTCTTAAACCAAGCTAAACGTATGTGTGTGCATAAAGCTGAGTTATGATCAGTCATAATAACACTGAATGTGGTGATGATTATAAAGTTCACAGTGAGATTTACAGCATACTGGTGGCCATGATTGCGCAGCCCTAAAAATGAACTGAGATTTCCACACACATATTTGAAGCTATTCTAGTGCGCCAGACCAAAGCAAAGCAGGGCTTTAAGGATAGGATGATATCACTACTCAAGTAGTTGCTTTTTACTGTTCGTAAGTAAGTGTGCAGAGCAATGTTGATTTAAAATGGCAGTTTGAAGGTTGGATATTTGTGAAAAAAATGTATGTATATATTAATAATTTAAGATGTAAATGTATTCCAGTTTGTAATATTTTCTATTTTTATTTTCTCACTTTCTCATGTGGTGGCCCCCACATCAAATCCCAATTTAACCTCTGGCTATAGTGACAATGAAATCAATGCAACAGTGTTTAACATTAAAAGCCTTCACGCAGCTCAGGGACACAACATTATAGGAAGGGTTCTGCAGAAAGGGTTGAGATGTTACATCAGCATTTACCAGTTAAGATCTGGGTTAAAAGATTGTCTACATTTTTGGCATTAAAGTCCAATTTTACCCAGGGATGTTAGGCTTTGCAGACAATGAACATGTCCCCAAACCGTTATAACACACTACAGTGAAGGGAAAACCCCAAGAAGCATAATAGGGCCTCTTTAAGTAGAAGAGTACTTATTCTACCTCTGCCTCAAACAAAACCAGAAACAAGTGTAGGAACAGTTGGTGGTGCGATACCTCTCTGCGCAGGACGCAGTGCACCATCACTATGACGAAGCCTTCCAGCGAATCAAAGACAGCGAAGAGGATCTGGAAGAGTGCGGAGCGCCGGTCGGTGATGGCCAGGACGGCTGACATCCAGGTGAGGGCCAGGAGGGGCAGGACCACACAGGAGCTCCACAGGGACGCCCTGCAGGGGGGGGGGGGAGCGGTCAGACACAGCACCAGCAAACTGACAACACAGAGGGAAGCCTAATGCTGGCAGACATCATGCTGGAAGACATTCTGTATTTGTCATTAGCTCACATTATTGGATGGTAACATCTAAGGCAGGCTATCATTCAAATATATTCTAACAAATACAATTTGTTTTCCCTTTGTAATGTAAAAAGTAGAGAACGTAATGTTTAACATTCAATGAATTCCCTACTTGCCCTTGATTACTGCCCACGCTCTTAGCATGGAAATCAACACTAACCATGCAAAATAACATCACAACAAATCATTATGTTACTATACAAACAGAAACATACATCCATTATCTGCAGATATATATGTTCATAATTCACATATATGACATGCATGTATGTTTAGGATGGTTCAGTCAAACCATAGAGGATCTAGTGCCACAGGAGAGAGAAGGAGTGATGAGAGCAGTGGGAAACAAGTGAAATGAGGCTGAAACAGAATGGAGACAAACAGAGGCAGAAGAGACAGAGAGGCTGAAGAAGAGTCAGACAAACGCTTAGCTCCCACTCTAATGTGCTCCTTGTATACTACTAAACCTATTAGATAGGGGGTCACATTTAGTTTGAGTTAGATCATATTCAAGAAGTGGAAAAAGTACTTTAGTAAAATTCTATGGTCCATGCAACAATGGAATAAAACTAATAAAAAGTGAGTTATAATGTCTCACGGGACACTCATTATTGACATTTCCTCAGCACTAATCAGTAAACAAACGTCATGTCTCACTAACCAATCTGCTTTTCTATACCTATTTACTTGTCTTGCTTACTATTTCCAATTACAATGCGTCAATTCAACTTCCTGCCGGTGTTTCAAAATAAAAGCCCGGAAACAGAGGGGTTCTGGCCCGTTTACATTGTGTGCAGTGCGTGGTTTGTTTTTTATCAGCAGCTTAGCACCGGACGAAAATGTGATTTAAGATTTAAAAATGATATTTGTGTTGTGTTGTAGCTGGTCTACCTGGACAGCTTACTGCCGGTGTTGCACTCTAAATAGGATACATAAACTAAAAGGACATCATGCTAGATCCATGTCACAGTCAAATGAGAGAAAAACATCTTAATTCAACTGTTTGTATCATCTTTGAATAATAATAATAATAATTGTAACCTGTTCAAAAGTGTTTTTAATTGGAGCTGACAAATGTACTAATACATAAAAATGTTTTAAAGGTCATTTTATCATTTGCATTTATTAAGCTATTCTGTAAAGTCAAAATGTGAAACAGACAAATGAAGGTATTATATAACAAACGTAATTATGTTATGATATAAAAGAAAGTAGTCCAACAAATGGAAAACCATAAATGAAGCAGTGTAAACACTTAATTAAAATAACGTTGTTACTTTCCACCTCTGGTATTAAATAGGGCTACACCAATACTGGAAGTGGGATGGCTGATTATTGTCCTGAACCTCCTTGTGAATGGATGTTTGTCATTATGTGCATCCTGTTTGGCCCTGCAGCCGGCCCACAGTCACACTCTGCAGGACACACCCTGTCAGGGGGGAAATGCTGGAAGCTGACTAACGCAAACAGTGGAAATGGCTGTATTCTACCTGAAGGATAGTTCAAAATGTTTTCACTCTTATTTTCCATATTCATTTATAACCGAAATGATTGAACTTAGACCTCAACCTTCACTATTTAAGGGCTGCTGTTCTCCAATACAATCCACTGAGCACCGCCAACATCGTTTAGAATGAAAGACTCAAATGAAATAATGTAATGTATAATCAAAAGATTGATACAAGCCTCTTGGCAGTTATTGGCTGTCATTGTAGCTGACTGTACTGTCTTCACTCAGCATTACAAACGAGTGGAACATGGCGACACAATAATAGACAAGAGGAACTTCATGGAGCAGGTCATTCATTTATGTTGCCCAGGCCATAAAGAAGGACAATCTGTATACTACTCAATACATCCTGTATTAACAATAGAGGCTGACATGTGGCTGTCGACTAAGATGTGACCAGAATCAGCAATATCATTGAATATTAAAACATGTTCTATGTACTCAGATCTACTCATAAGCCCATTTACAGAAAGACACACAGAATGATCTGCTGTCATTTGAACAGATTTGTCTCCTTCTGGTATTCAAAACCACTAGCCGGAAATATGAATGGGTGTGAAGTGTGTGAGCAATGTCGCATTACAGACTATTAAGTGAAACGATGTGTGTTAATTGTTCACTCAGCTTTTTTCTTAGTGGATTGTATCAGAGAGCAGCACTACCTGCGCAAAAAGGGGCAAACAACTCTAATTATAAAAATAAAGAGTCAGGTCGATAATAATGGAAATCAAGGCAAAACCCACGCACACACATACACAGACTATGAACATAACACTGTAATGCTGTCCTCTGCAGACATTGCCATAGCCTCCCCAACATGTGGTCTGATCAAATTGTGCCCCGTATGATCTCTTCTCACTCACACACACACACACACACACACACACACACACACACACACACACACACACACACACACACACACACACACACACACACACACACACACACACACACACACACACACACACACACACACACACACACACACACACACACACACACACACACACACACACACAGATTTTCATACAGTGAACAGTTGGTTTGGAGCTGTTCATATTGAGTGAGTCTGCCAGGGCATCAGGGAGAAGAAATAATGACAGAGGGATAAAGGAGAGAGAACCAATCAAGTGAGGGAGCAGAGGGAGGCGTACAGTAGAGGAGAGAACAGAGGTAAGAAGAGTTAAGGAAAAATAATTAGCGGGACTAACATGGCGTTACTGGTAGCTGTGGTGGAAACGTCAGCCGAAGAGATAACCCCGCACTTGGCACATTTGAGCGTCATATTGTACAGTGGCACTGTCATCTGACTGCAAAGTCAAATTAACACGCTGTAACATACACAAACAGATACAAATGCACCTACACACAGACTCACACAAATGCACGTGCGCACACCAGCACGCACAGGCAGTCACACACACAGTGAGTCACAGTGTATCGCACAATCTCTCTCTCAGGGCTACGTCCAACCGTCTCTGTGTGTGTGTGTGTGGGGGGGGTTACCCAGGTTAGTCTGGGGAAGGGGAAGTGGGGCCATTGGTGCATATTTCATGTTCCACATGACGTGGTGCTACTCTGACCGTCTTTGAGGAGCTGATGTAACTGAGACTGCTCTCTGTTGTCAGTGTTTCACCCACTCAACAGTCTATCTGCTCAAAAAGGCTTCATCCCAACGTGTCATTTCATATCTTGGTTTATGCCTCTGCTGCTCTGATTGTGATGATGTGGTGCATGTGTCTCACCCCGGTCATCTATATTTGCTCTAACTGCTTATTACGAGCATTGCCAAGTACTAATGCAAAGGTTTTCACACACATACACATTTCAAAGCTCAACATACAAACGTGCAAGCTGTTGTCAGTGTTTATAGTCAGAGTTCACAAAGGAGTCACAGTCACTAATAAACAGCGTTCCCTCAAGCAGCCATTCTCATGGAGCTGCAAGTGGAAGAAGTTATTACTTTTAGGGCAGGGTCCCACAAGTAAAACTCCTGTTCATTTGAAATGTACTACATAAACTATGTATTGTGCCGTAGCATTGCAGCACTGAATCATTAGCATACAGTACAATACTGTATACGGATATTTTTTTATAAAAGCCTATACAAACTGTGGTTTGTAACAACCCGTGTCCTGCTGTGTATCCCTGGCTACTGGATGTACTGGCCATGATAAGATAATTGTTGAGATCTCAGAATGTTTCTGAAAAATGTTTCAATGGATTCAGAAACATGAGTGTTCAGACGGTCGGACAGAATCTACCTGAAAGTGAGTGTACAGTCCGCTTTTCTCCTAAGATCAGCTTTACTAACCGTTGTTGTTGTAGACATCCCGATTGTCTGAACGTTCCTGTTTCTTGCCCGATCAGATCTAATTTTGGAAATGTCGCCACCATATCTTAGCATTTTTTTGCCGAGTAAAAATGTATCATAACTGAAAAGAATCAATGGCCAAATCAACGAAAACAAGGCCAAAGTAATACAAGTCATTGTTTTCCTTTGAGCAAAGAAATCTGCTACAAATCTTAAGAGGAATTCTGTGACTGCGAGAACTGCTAACATTGAGTAGATGCGTTTGATCGAATTAAACCCTGAACTTCATCTTGAAATAACCCTGGATAAATGTTGGATGAATTCAGAAACTATGCTGCAGTGACTGTTTGCAATTGCAAAAGAAAGTATCTCTTTATTTGAGTTTTCTCCAGCTTCCTGTCAATAACAAAAATGTGTAGTATCACTGAATTATCCAAGAAACATCTGTTCCAACAAAGCAACATAAAACACAACACCAAAGGAAACCTACACTTTCTCCGTTGTTCACGTCCTCTGCTCCCTAAATGTCAGTCTCACGGTAAGACACTGAGACCAAAACATATTGATTTTCTAGATCACTGAAGCACTTCCTGTTCCCAAATTCAATTATATCTACAATTCTATGAATACCTCAGGTTGATGTAACAATCCCTGCCGCTATTCAGTCATTCAGAAAAAGAGGAATATAAAAAGCTGTTTGGTCGGAGGTTGCTTTAATTAGTTGACCGAAGACTATGGTTTTAACTTACTATATGTATATACAACACTTTACAACTATTAGGAAAGCAACAGATCAATTCCAGGTATGGTCACCAATAAACGACATTACTATATTTACTTTCTAATACCTAAAGACCGAACTCTCCCCAAACCATCGAGATTCAAATCATATCTCTGAGTTTGTCTTCAGTGTTGTTGCTCGAAAAGACTGACTCCAATATATTGACAAGTAATAACAAACTCATCCGTTACCGTATGTCCTCCTGCTAAACAACAATTCAAGTTGAAGAGCTGTGTGAATCGATATCTGTAGCCCCTGGACGCCTGGATTAAAAATCACATAATGGAACAAATTCAATTTCAAATAAAAGGGCAATACAGCCGCTAGATGTACGCTTTAGGCAGTGGCATTAAAAAGCAATCAAGACTTTTAGAAACACAACACCATTTCCCTGGACTTGAGGAAGGAGAGGTAAAAGGTGGGTGCTTGGTTGGTGGGTTAGATGCAATAAACAGAATGAATACAAATCCAACTTGAAATGGATCTGGTAGAAGGTAGTCCTTGAATCAAACAGAAACTCTTTCCTGTTTCAGAGAGTTGCATCCAATGGAACTCTAGGAGTTGGCAGGACTTGTTAAAGTTGCAGACCGTGTTTTCATTCCAAACCTAATGTTTGATTACACTTCTATTACAAGCTGTAAATACAGAGGCTTGATGATTGAAAGCATTTAAGCATTTGTTAAGGAGAAAACACACTCCAGTGGTAATTGGAATTAGGCCTCTCCTGTCTGTTTGAATGTTCTCAGAGAATGAACTTCTAATTGTGTGGAAGTAAGCAGCGAGGCCTGTCTCTGAGGAGTGGGCCGACCTGCTGCAGACGCCGAGCGCTTCATTAATGCTGCACAAATTCATTAGCTTCATTAAACATGTTTTGCATTTGAACCTTTAGAACCACCCGCAGGAGAGGCGAGCGGTGAAGGGTGGCGGGGGGTCACACAAAAGAAAAAATAGCATTGGAACCTCTTCACTTCCTTCTTATGTCCTCCACATAAAGAGCTAGAAACAACAACCACCAAACTCTGCGCAAACAATAAAAGGTTATTTCAAGACAGTCAGATAACGTTCAGCAACCAGCATGAGAGGTCTGAGGGAGAGAGATGGACCTACTGTGTACTGTATGTGGAGGAAATGATGACATGTAAAGGTCACTGTGTGTAGAATCTCACTCAATAAGATGATTTGAACTGAACTGATGAAAGTACAAATGAATTGATGAATTAGTTCTGATTAGTTTTGATCAATATGTGATTTGATAAATAAACGCAGTCACTATTTACTATTTATGGGCTTTAATTAATAAAAGTGATATGATCCCAGACAGGACAGAAAAGATTGCAATAAGAAAACGTAAAAAATAATAATAGTAAGTGCATAAAACCAGAACAAATAATAGAATTAAGAATATAAACTATAAAATCGTAATGCCATTTATGTTTTGAATGTGCACGGGCGTGGGTATTTATGAACTCCACAGCAAACGGTCTGTCAGAAGCTTTCTGTGGTTCCAGAGGGAGCTGTATGCACTCTGATATCTCAAGTAAAGACTAGCAGTTTGACAATGAGATCCATCTGCGGTAGAGGAGCTACATTAGTCACTTGTAGCTAAATACTCTCTGACCAAAATGTCTTTGGTCGAGGTGCCAAATGGGCAATGCAGGCGCACGGTTAGATCAGGAGGGAAATGGGTGGAACATGGAAGATGATATCTCTGACTCTAATGCATCCATATTGATATTATTTTTTGTCCAACAATGTTTATAGGAGTTTGATGTGATATACACCTAGAAAGGAAAATACTTCATAACATAAACACTGGCCTGTTACCTGTATAGATCACAGTGGAACCCTACCCCTATCAGCGCTGTACCCATATGTTAGCGGCCCCATGCTGTTTCTGGCTGATCACCAGACGTTGTCAAGTCACCACTTCCTTCTCTTTCCTATCTGTTGAATCACATAAGCTTTATGAATTGCTTTAATAGAGACTCATCTTGCTGTTGCTGTGCTAGGAAGTAAAAGCCCCATAAAATCACTGTATGGTAACACTGGGCTCAGGTTAAGGGACTGCCATCAATACATACTTAGCACTGTCAACAATAGCATCAGGGCCGGCACCATGTGACAGACACACTGTCAGAGCAGGGGACTTTTGTTTTAATATCCCAACGTTGGAAAGCATACATTCAGGGAGCCCATGGTACAGGTAGGAGTTGGACAAGGACTAAGCAGAAGGTTGAGGGGTCACACCAGTGCAACCTTTGAATACAAATGTCTGACAAAGTCATCTCAACTCAAAGACCACATAGTAGCTTTCTGACTATATGTATATGATTAGAAGCCAGCTTCCTTTGGCTACTTGTTGATGGATTGATCTACTCTCAGGAAGTGATACGACCAGTTTCAGTTGACTGCCTTCTAAACTGTGCTCCCTTCATGTAACATGCAATAGAGTCAACACTCAAAACACATTTAGATATCTACCAGGACAACTTAAAGTCAGGAGCCCCTCCTGAGTGGAAGTGTGTGCATGACAACAGCATGACATCCCATGATAGCTGTAGGAAAGAAGCATCAACCGTACAGAGTTGGATTTGCTTGAAGTAAGTGGACCAGGTTATCTCAGATGTACTGATCCAAATGGCCAGAAGGTACTCCCTTGTGTACTCCCTCAAAGTGCAATATAATCACCAGGTATATTCTACTTTTATGATTCTATCCCTTGAATTAGGTGACTCATTTAAGAGTACACAACAAAGCTATCCGAGCATGGGTTGTGACATATTACGAGGAAAACCCAACAAAGTGGAACATATCTGAAGGGACATTCAGAGTCAAGGAACACTCAAATGCAGGAACAATCTAGTCCTTACTAAACCACAATCTACCTTTCTAGAAGTCACTCCATCAGACACACACTCTATGCAATCATAACAACACCACACTAACCTTGCACACACACACACACCATTTCAGTAAATACAAAACATGAATATTATTGCACTGCAACTACTATGTGGTTTTGTTGAAGCAGTTGATCTAAAAGCACTACAGAAGCTATCAGAACCTGAGGCAGTAGTGTGTTATGTTCTATTCAGCTAGCAGGAAGGAGCATAAATGGTGAGGTCACTAGTGGAATAATCAGGGAAATAGGCAGGAAGTGATAGTAAGCCAATCAGAGGTGCTAGCTAGAGGATTCAGCAGATTTGTAGATGGGCAGGGCTGGTAGCTATACATTAGGAAGAGGGCGGGATGGGCAGGTTTTTTTTACCCAATCACTGATGACATGGAAGGGGGCTTCTGAGACTGAGGTGTTCCTGATTGGAGAGCCCTGAGTGAGAGAGAGGGGATTCTGTGCAAACTCAAACATGACATCAGACAGCAAAAACAAGAACAGTTGAACAGAGAGATCATTGAAGAAAGCAAACATTTTCAGAGAGAAAGAAAATAACATTTGAATGCACCAACAATGCCAATGGAGACAAAACAGCCTGCTGGGTAAAGTGGAGCAGGGCTCTGAGGTTTGACCAATGGCTGTTTGAAGGTCTGATACTAACAATGATATTTAAGACTCAAGCTGCCAGCAATTATGTTCTTGCGTACAAAACGTATGTGTAAGTTGCCTATTTATGTTTATAACACACTACTCTGACAATGTATGAAGAAACACGTTCTTTTATCAAGCCTATAAAGGATCACTCCAACATTTTGGAAAATATCTTTGTTTGCTGCCAAACCCACAGTCAGCCGAGGCAACTGATACAGTTTCTGAGATTGTTTCAAGCAATCTATAAGCATATACATGCAGAATCTGTAGGCAACAGATAGGACTTGGTATTGGAGGTGTTCGGGTTTCAGTTTGAAGTCTGAATAGTGCTGACCAATAGTTTTTGGGCTGGCTTTTAAATGGCCGTAAATTGTCCCTGTGACTGGAATGGTATGTCAGAAGACATTGGATATGCTCTGACAACAATTAGGCTTTTTATTAGCTTATAATTAGCTTGTAAACCAGCTAATTGACGTGAACCGATGCGGTTGTACATGTCGTCTCTTAACTACTTCTGTCTAGCATCTTGACGATAAACATTGTGAACAGGACATTTTAGCCTGGATTTCTGCTGGCTACATCGGAACTTACAACATAATATTAATTATTGTCATACTTTTAGCTAATGGGTAGAGATTGTGTTTTCTAGTGGCTTAAAAACAGCAGAAGCAACCTCACTCAAAAGTAAAAAGCAACCACTTTCCAACAGCTCGAAAGATGTCATGGTGACACATCATCGCTAGCCAATGAGATCAATCAGCAGTTATTGCTCCTTCTGGAGTTAGGACAGTTCCTGATCTGGGAGTTTTGACCATTGACCATCATTCATCCACTGCCCAGCTTTCCCTTGTGCAGAACCCTATACTGTCTCCTTTCACCACTTCACATACAATGCTAGCTTTTCACCCACAACGCTCTTCTCAGTGACAGAAGAACATTGTGTTGTGACGAAAAATGTATTCATAAATCAGATATTTAGAAGATGCACATCATCACTGGAAGAAATTGAATAATGTATCACGCACAAGAACACACAAGCTCATACTGTATGTCCTCAGAGTGTTTTGTGCAAAAGGAGCTTTACATATAATGATTAAGTTGTTATGATCCAGTTGCTACTAATAATAAAACGTTGTTGGAAGGTGCATTTTTTATGACTTTTGACAGAGCTAGTTTAGCGGTTTCTCTTGCGTTAAGTCTTCATGCTAATTTAAGCCAAACACATTCTCCACCTATCTTTGTACTAAACTAAACAAAGAATTATATACATTCTTTAAACTTTAAAATCATAAAGTAGGAAACTGTTTGTTCAGGTAAACCCTATCTCTTATCTGTATGAATTCAATGGGAGTTCTGTTTGTGCAGCTGTCAGCAGTTACTTGGTTGAGTACAATGTTATTCTAACCAACAAAACCAAGGCACCAGAAATACAAAAGTTAAGATGCACTGCCTATTTTTTCTTTTCTAAAATGTTGAAGTGATAGTATCATGGTGTTTTAAAGCCCTGCTTCTCTCTACTTGAAATAACCAAAGAGGAGAAAAAAAGACACAATGGATTTACAGAACTTGACATCAATAGCAACACCTGCAAACAGAGAGCAGCTGGAGGACATGGGACACATTTCAAACTTAAAAAAAGCAATGAGATGAGTCATCATCTTGCTCAGTCTGAGCAGGACCAATAACCAGACAGCTTCCCACATCCTTGTTCTTTCTCAATATTCTAAACCCCAGATGATCATAGTCATTTTTTCAGATCATTTTTTTTTAATAATTCAATCCCAATTGTCTTTCTCAGTGTCTTTAATCAAATTTGCCAACGTTTTTAATGATGGCCCAGGATCAGTTTAGGCAAAGAGCCAGTAACAGTGCCCCCCCCCCCCCACACTGTCTGAGCTATCAGGCTGGTTATAGGTCACTGTGTAAAATGGATGTGTGGTATAAGGCATACCCCGCCCTCTCCTTTAGTTTCATATCAGTAATGCCGTCTTTGGACACCAGTTTGTTAAATACGAGAATTCCAATAACCATGTTAACCTGCCGGAGAGAAGAGGCACAGGATTAATGCAGAGCACACAGGTTCATTACTGCACATCTGACTGATGATGGTGAAGGATGAAGGACACCACAAAACAATGGCAACATGCGCGCACACACACACACACACACACACACACACACACACACACACACACACACACACACACACACACACACACACACACACACACACACACACACACACACACACACACACACACACACACACACACACACACACACACACACACACACACACACACACACACACACACACTACTACTTCCTGTAATTACTAGACTGTATCATCTCACGTTACTTAAACAAACACCAACCAGTGAAGCATGAACACAATGTTTGAATGGATGATTTCTAACATATTAATACATTTTTGAACAAAGACAGACCATGCATAAATTACAAGCATTGAGAAATCAAAGATGGGGGAGGGGTTGTCTTTAATTGTGTTGATTCCAAAGATGTTAATGCTTTTAGGATTCATAGTAACATCTGTTAAGCCACTGTGATGCTGTTTAATTAGGTAGGTGTAAAGAGGGAACCCAAAACAAGCTGTTCTCTTGTACCGTAGGTGTGAAAGAGGCTCTGGGAAGTGAATCACCCAAACTGAAGCCAATGGATTTGGATAGTGCAGTGTGTGTAGGACTGAGATTTAGCCCAGACATAGGTCACAGCAGGAGAGCTGAGTTGACAATTATCAATACATGTGTCATTATATGTTTTTTGAATGGTGTTCCAATTCAAGCAGCAGCTGTCAGAGTGGATCAAAGGAACACCTGTATGGTCATCATGCAACTGCTGCAGTGTCCATTCTTTGCTCTATGAAGGTTCAACCATGGACACATTTCAAACACTAGTAATATGCTGTGCTTATTAAAGCTTGAATGGGGATTTTGAACAGTATGTTTGAGCTGTCCAGATTTGTCAGATAGGGTTTTAAGAGTTTAACAGTTGCCAGTGAACAGGAAGCTGGCTTTTTAATATGACTTATTGTTTGATCATTATTATCCAATTTTAAAGGTGGACATATTTTAATAAACTGTAAAACATACTATACTTTTTGGGCAATATAGCAAAGAACCTAAGTTAATAAGAAAGGAACAAGGTAGGGGAGAAAAGCAAGAGGAAAGGAAGGAAAGGAGGAGGTAAATGAGGAAATAGGATATACTTAGAAATACAGAAACTAAGTCAAATGAAGCAAAGGAAGACCACGGGAGGGAAATAAGGAAGTCAACAAGTAAATAAAGGTAAAGGAGGTAAAGGAAAACACAAATAAGAAAAGACAAAAGCAGGTTAGAAAAGAAAGGGAAATATGAAGAACATGGTATAATATAAGACATATATTACGCAAATGTGAAAGGGAGGGAAATAAGGAATGAAATCAAAAAGAGAGGAGGTAGAGAAGCAGACAAGATCAAGTAAAAGGGAGGAGGGGGAGTCATGGACTATCAACTTGGCAGTGATCTCATTTGTTTAATTTTACACTGAAGTATTATTCTTAGAAACACTTTTAAAATGTATGACTACATTGCAGTAACAGTTCAATAACAAGTATTTTACAGACAGAATAATGGGTTAAATAAGCACATTTAAAGATCATCTTTGCTGTGTTTCTTTTGGTCAACTTTTTATATTGATTTTATTTCATGTTAGGCTTGTATTATGAAGTGTTTTTACTGTTTTTTAACAGAAATGTGAGATTGTTAACATTTTTGCCGTTAAATATCTGCAGTGAGAGGCCGACTTGATATGGATTGTGTTGAAAGTGAAAACTGTTACATGATGCTAATGGTCTAAATCTAAATGAAAGCAGATATTTGACAAGCTAACCACAAAGAGGACTATAGAGGAAAGAGGAAATACCAAGACGACAGCTGCAGCAGGTCCAACAAACGCATAGAGAAGACCTCCTTCCAGAGACAGCCAGCAGCTACAGGGGGGCAGGGAGCACAGAGGGAGGGAGACGTGATCAGAAGAAACAGGGAGGATGGAGGGTGAGGCGTGGAAGGGGGAGGAAACAGAAGTGTCGCAGAGAGGAGGGACAGAAGGAGGTGAGAGGTCCAGGTCATGGCAAGAATAAGGATGGTAAAAGATATATGGGACAGAGAAAGAGAGAGGTTCATTATTCTGCACACATAAACCCCCACCATGTGTAATGTCCCTGCATTAATAGTTAAAGAGGTATATGCTGCAGCTGGAGCAAAGCATGCTTACTAGCTCGGTGTTCCATATCCCTTTGCCTTGGTGAACCCCACTGAGATCGCCACGACTAGTGCAGGGAGACCTGCAGGGAAACAGAACACACATGAACAGAGCGGAGATGAGAGAGCAGAGGAACCAATGAGAACAGCAGACAGAAGGCCCACCCCAGCCGAGACACAGGAAGCGCTTGCGTATGATGCGGTTCCTGAGGCGGCCCGTCACCGCCATGTAGGACTGCCACGCCTCGGTCAGAACCCAGCAGAACGACGACAGGAAGAAGAAGTGAAGGAACGCAGCGATCAGGGTGCACAAGACCTGAAACAACAGAGAAAGTCAACTGCGTTGTCAATTTCCCTGTGTGTGTGATACAAACAGGGAGAGCAAAATGACGTTTCTCACCGTCCCAAAGAATAAGACTATATACAAAATGATAACAAATATATACATACATACACATCTGAACACCATCAACACATACTCAAACATATGTATACATATATACACATTAAGAGGTAAAGAGAATAACATTTAAGAAACAAGTAAGATTACATAAATCAGACAAGCTGCTGTGATCATTTGTTAAGTAAATACTAACAATACATTGCTCTCACCTTATTCCGAGTCTGTGTCTGTCCGATGAGAATAAGAGCATTGGAGGAGATGATGGAGAGACAGAAGTTGATGAGGATGACTGAGCGCTCAGAGCGGATGTACCTGCCGGACAGAGACAGGAAGGAGACAGAACATGAGTGTAACAGAAGGATTTGCATATTGTAAACCATGCATTGTTTATCAGGGTAAATCAGACAGACCCCTTTGCAACTTTAACCCTGTTGCAAGCTACATTATTGGCCCACTCTCTCTGGTATTTTCCCAATGGGAAGAGAGTAGGGTCCCCATATGTGAGTGTGTCACTTTCTTTAGGGTCCCCAATCATGAGGTGCATTAGTGTGTTGTAGTAGTAACATAATATCCGGGTTAGAAACTAGCTGATCTTTTCTCTTGTTGGGTGATTATGGTTCAAGATGTTGGGTAGGCTACCATCCAAAGCAAAGAACTACAGCAGGGTAGATGGATGGGCTACACAGAAGATATTTATACCCTATCATTCTGAGTATGAAGGAGTCAAATCAACTGTACAAGTAGTGCCTTATACTTTTGAAGTAGAAAAGCAAGTGATGGATACCACCTCTTACTCTCCTGTCTTCCACTTGGCTTGCCGACCTGCGATCCCTTTGGTATTGTGGGCTCTGGTGATAATGAATACATTTTCATTTCCTCTATGTAGCCTGACACTGCTTATGTAAGCCAGTTTCTGTGTGGTACAGATGTAGCTTAGCCGCTGATACAATGTGTTAACACGAAGCGGTGTTTACTTATCCATATGCATGGCTGCATCTCAGGTCGATTAAATGGAATCCTTGCGTCCCTCACATGCGTCGTTTCCCTGCGTTTAGTCCCTCCCACCAGGGAAGCATGGAGAGACGCAAGGAAACCACGAGAAGCAGCGTCACGAGAAGCAGCGTCACGTGAAGCAGCGTCACGTGAAGCAGCGTCACGTGAAGCGACGCCCGTTTGTGATGACTCCGCACAGCTGATCGTCTGACAGCAGCTCTGTCCCCGTTATTTTCACAAACACCCCCGCCACACATTTACTGACATATACATTTGTATCATCTGTTGTAGACCCAAATATATTTAATAAAATAAGAACTCATTCTCAAAAAAGATAAACGCCATTCTTAAAATGTATAAACGAACAATAGTTGGATTAATATTGATTAGAGTGCACAATAGAAATAAAATAATTCAGAGAAGAAAAAGATATATGTTATCTATCAAAACCCAGTTAGATTAACATTCATCATTGCACACTTTGTTTGTGTGGATATGTAGCAAATTAACATTTTAAATAGCACTTAATGACTGACTGAATGGAAATGACAATAAATGAAAATGTAAAACGAAAAAGCGATCATGAAAATGTTTCCAATAAATAAATAAAATAATTTTTGACCACTTTGTTGTTCAGATATATCACATATTTGTAACTGAATGATACATTCATTGAAACAAAACACAGTATAAACTGAGGAGTGAGTCCCGTGAGTTTCATGTGTTTTCTTCACTCCGCTGGGAAACTGCTCTCATGTCAAGAAGCATCAGATCAGTGCATGCGCTGCATCGTCCAATCAGTGAGCGATACACAGTAAGGGGGCGGGGCGAGTCTCTGAGGATTTCATCGGAGGATGGTCTGGTAGTTCCTCGGTTATCGCTCCTTGCTCCTCGATCCTCCGGCAGAAATAAGAGCCATGGGACGCTACTCAAGATGGCGCAGACAGATCAACTTCCGGTGAGACCGAGGACCGAGGAGCGAGGAAATGAGAAATAACCGACCTGAGATGCAGCCAATGACCTATGACCCACTGTAGTAGCATTAGCATCTGTCATTACCTCTAAACCTTTTTGCAGCAGAGCATTGAATTGCTAGGTAAATACTCAGACAGAAGCATGACGTGTACTTGACTTCCCATCTCAAACCACGGATCAAAGGTTTCCCATGAAAGAATGGTGATTGTATGTTTATGTTTTATATTAAAACTTCTCTTCAAGCACACGCTAGCTGTTTGGTCTTCACTTAACACCACCATGGTTTTTTGTGTCTCAGGTTAACTGACAGATGTACAGAACAAATCGTTGCACCTGTAGAAATGTTGGCGTGATGTTACCACCTTACATTATTCACTGGTTACAGGTCACTGTATCTCACCTCCACACAGACACATAGATGATGATGAGCAGCAACAGAGTCAGAGAAGAAACTCCACAGCCGACGATCAGCGTCACCGAGGGCAGCTGAGTCTTATCCATGTTCTGAAAGAGAAAAGCAAAAGAACAAAGAATATGAAAAGAGCTGTGGTCATGTAATCTGATGCAATCATGATTCATCAGCTGATCACACATAAACACAATGATGAATAGTAAGACTAAAGTCTTGAAAGCATCATTACACAGAGAAGCTTGGTCCGTCTGTAGTGTGTAGACTTTGACAGGAGCTGTCAGCAGATGAGTACACAAGCAGAACCATTCCCTGTTGACTGGATTTGGTGAGATCTCACCTCCTAACATGGTTCAAATGCAGCAGACTACATTTCCCTTAGCATCACTTCAGTCTCTGTGATGTTTTCAGCAGGCCAACGTTCTCAGAAATTGTAGCTCACGCTTAAAACAAAACTGCAAAACCACTGATGAAGATCGCACATCTTCGAGGGATCGAAACTCCCGCTGACATGTAGTCAATTCAACAAAAAAACGATCAACAAGTTACTTTTCTTACTTAAGGGCTGCACCCAAAATCAAATTCCCCATTGGGAACCTGATTTAAGGTTAATCTAGTTAACATGTCATCTGGATCTAAATATCTTAATTAGATCAGCAGAATTGCTTGCTAATGCTGATTCAGGGATTCCTGAAGTGTCTTATAGACAGAAGAGTGAAACTTCAACTTCAACTGATTATTTGTTTACCAAGTATTGGGATGCTAATGATTTGAGCAACGGCATACTGGCTTCCTGTTTTTGCTTGATTTACTGTATTTTATTCATATGTTTCTGATTCTTTTGACCTGGCAGTAAATAGGGCTGCACAATAAATCAAAACGTAACCAAAATTGCAATATGGACGAGTGCAAATTGCAGGAAGACCAATATTTGTTTAAGGCTAAATATGTTTTAATTTACCATTTGAATGAAGTACTGTGGAGCTGCAGATATCTTGGCCTAGAAATCATATTCTAAAGGACAGGAAAAAACGTATTTGTTTGGTACAGATCATCATTATAGAATCATTTCATATATTTTGCATTGACAATGAGAATAATAATGCAATGATGGTCATTCCCTCGCATAGCATGAATCATAGCGCAATTGCAATATCAGTCAAACCAATACTAATATTTTTTTTCAAATCAAATTTCAAATCTTTAGCTACAGCTCTAGCAGCAACATGTATTCTAGAATCAGACAAAAAGGGAGGTTGTGTGTAGTTGGAAGTGTCTGTAAACACATATAGCATAGATGTCATCAGATGGACGACACGGCCAATATCAAAACTAGCCTCTTGATAATCAGCTACAAAGACTGCTGATTTCACTGGAGACTCACAGATAGATGACTGGATTCAGTCAGTTAGAGCGGCTAGCCCCAGCTGGCTGTCTGCACAGTGTTTATGGTGGTCAGTGGAGATGTAAGGGTTAGAGGGATGACGTCACACGCACGCACGCACGCACGCACGCACGCACGCACGCACGACAGAGGACCATAAAAGGTGGATATATCCTGAAGACCATGCGTGTCTATACACCATTTTATAGATCAGTATTGGACCGACCAACATTGCCTTCCCTAGCGCCAATAGAGCCAGTAAACATGCCCACAAAGAGAAAGTAAGAAATAATTGAATACGGCCAAATATAGCCAAGGTAACTACACAAGTGATGTTTAAAGTCCAATATGGCTCTTCACAACCATAAACACCCCCATACACAGGCCTTATGATGGTATGTAGTGTTGTGACCAAGTGCAAAGGGTTAAGGTGACGTGAAGGGACAGTTTAATTAAAAAAGCTTTGCAGTTGGTGAGGGGGGTGGTCGGAGGAGGGTTAAACATGGAGGGACCTGGACTTGAGGGAGTTTCACCCCCCCACTTCCCTCCTAGCAGGAGATAATTGGCTGAGTTTATAGCCTGTCTTGTCTCCAGGTGTGTGTGCTGGGGCCAAGTTAATTAAATCCCTCTGATTAATCTGCACTGCAGTGAGTTCCTTCTCTAAAACAGGGGGAAGAACACGATTATGAGTGCATTCAAATGGAAAGGCGTCTGCTGAGACAGAAACACTTTTACTTCCTCCTTAGCCAATGACAGAGCTCGGCAGGAAGTCTCACGCAGTTTCTAAACGAGAGCGCTACCATCCACATTAAAGTGACCAGACTGCATTATTCCACATGAGCAGCTACCTCCACTGAGGAAGACCATGGGATGTCATTTCATTTAGAAATCTATTAGATGAAGCTCCTGCCAATATTGGCAGTAAACAAATATGATTGCTTAAGCAAATTGCATAGGTATCAATTACACTCAATGGTATGCAAATGTTATTCTACTGATTGGAATATTAATGAAATAAAAGTAATTCATGCTTCCTAGTAATGGGGCCTGGCTGTAAATATAATATGTTGACTGAAATAAATTATAATAAAATGTGAAACTATTATGGACTAAACCATACTGAAAGGGAAGTATTAAGATCAGTTAAGATCTGGAGTCAGGTCATGGTTAGCTTAACTTAGCAGACGGAGGGAAACAACATATAATCTTGCTTGTTTTATCAGTGCTTCTAGGAGAAGGTACATGCCTAAAGTGTTTGTTGATGAACAGCAGCTGGGTGCAGTGCACAGCTTCCTGGAGCGGTGTTTTCATCTTGAGTTTGCCAGGCAATTGGGGAGAATCCAAGAAATCTTAACGCTAACCCTAATTAAACTACAGCTAAGCTTTTGCATCGGTTAAACAGGAGAAATAACATGCTTTTAATTGAGCTTTATATGTACTGAAAGTGGGATGTTGTTGCCTCGGACAGAGCCAGGCTCGTCGCTTTCCCACATCTCAAGTGCTTATGCTAAGCTAACTAGCTGCTTGCCCCAGCTCCATATCTACCATGCAGACACAAGAGTCACATTAATCTTCTCATCTAACTTTTAGCAAGACAGCCAATGAGCACATTTCACAAAACGCTAAAACTATTAGCCAACTCAAAAAGCCAAATCTGAATACAGCATTCAGACCACACAGCCAAGACATTCCTCCATACAACTTGTATGATGGCATGTATGACTACCATAGATATACAGTATGTGGTGTGTCCTGCATGCCCTCTGTTATCTGACTATGATGACCCTGAATTGGCCTACAGCCCCGCAGACCTCAGTCGGTCCTATTTATTAACGTGTCACTGTTAGAATGTGGGCTAATTGGCCACAGAGGCTTGTTACTGCATCTATCCAGCACATTCAAACAAGCTCACGCAGGCTTAAAACATTCAAAATGTTACAAGAACAAACACGTTCACCCCCCCCCACCCCAGAACAGAGAGGAACACACTAGCAGCGGCAGTCAACTGGACTCAGGTTTTGGGGCCTTTGCTTTGACTGCCTGTGCATTTTTTTTTCAGTCTGCCCCTCTAAAAGCCTGCAGCGGCTTTGAACTGAGCAAAATGGACACGAGAGGTGGCAGCAAGAGAGTAAATGATGTAGTAGGAAGAGAAAGGAAGCGAGGGCTTAAATGTAACACAGCAACTGAGGATGGAAAATGGTGTGATGAAATGATTGAGGGAGAGAAAGAAGAGAGGAGAGAGGGGGGAGGCAGAGAGGGAAAAAAGGGGTTGGGGTGTTTATTATGCTGGGGCAGTAGGAGGATAGCTGCAGTCAGAGCGGCTGGCCGTTTAGCAGCTACTATGTGTTGCAGTAGGAATAATTAGCATGACTGCCTCGCAATAACTAGAATGTGCAGAGAGGGACACTGAATGAGGGAGGAGAGGAGATGGCTTTCCTCCCTTTCTGGCAAAATGAACCACCACAATCTTTCCTCAGGGTGTGTGAAGCCTCCGGGCTGCTACAGAGCTGTGGACAGGCTGCCTCTGCACACATGGAGGCAGGCTGCAGGAGGACAGCTAGCTGAGGAGGCACCATGCTCCACTGTACGGGTTAGCTTATATTCCTGTTTCACAGTTGTACCTGTTTCTGGACAAGACAAGAGTCTAAAACTGTACATTCTTTAGGCTAAATGCTAATTATATTATGGCAACAGGCGCATTCATGACAATGCCAATGCTGTTCAGACACTATTATGTATAACATGTTCATCACCTCAGTTTCACATGTTTAGATGAAACACATTCTGTTAATGTTTGCTAAATATGGCAATACATTTCATATTTGTCAAGACCTGTTCTTTATGTAAAAGATAAGCAACCAGCTAGCATGGCAGCTAACATCAGCTACAATATGATACATCTTACACTATGGATGGATGGATGAACGGATGGATGGATAGATAGATATGAAAATAATCCTCAATCGCAGGACAATCTTATCAAATGTAATGCTAATTTATTTGGGAACAAGCTTGACTCGAGCACATCATGTATTTGACTTATGTTCTTCAACACATATTTGATGATTTGGTCAATGAAAATTCTAAAAAGACAAAATTGCTCTCCACAATAAAATGATCAAATGAAACATTATTTGTGCTGGATTATCGAGGGCTGTTTGTTGTTACAGTATATTGTCTTGCATAAGCCACATATCATGCCTTGCTCCATAAAAACAACCTTTGATGATCCTGCTGCTGTGAGTGATGCCGGAGGAGCTGTTCAGTGTGTCTGCTTGTTGAGGTGAGACCCCCTGACACACACTCAGCCACAGCTAACAGCTAAACTGAACATTAGCTCTGGGATGGGGTAGGGCGTTGGTACTGTGACTGATGTCTGTTTTCATTATTGATTGACCTATTGATTCATTTTTAGTTCTCTGGCTGAACATTAGCTGTCTAAAATGGTAAAATATATGTCAAACATCCACCGTACATATAAATGCAGCAGTTTCTTTGAACATGCTGTTTACTGTAGCTAATGCCCAACAGTTAAACACCATAAAGGTGTGCAATGATAAGAAGCAAATTAATAGCTACAATAATGAGTAGCAACTTCCAATTGACTCAAAGGAAACCCAATGTTTGCCACACATACACTTCACTACTGCCAAAATATATTTGGCAACTCATTGTTATTTATTTATTTGATCTGAGAGATGAACATGTAGGGGTTTCCCTGCCTGTTCCGTAGGCTATCGAGAAAAAAGGTTCTGCTGCCAATCACACATGCTCTGCAGAAAATCCCACAGACACTTTCTTTGTGTGTGTGGTACTCCGTCTAACACGGTTAACAAGATGAATACCAATCTTATGTCTGTACATAATGTATGAAGCTGAAGACAATTATGTGGTTGGCCTAGCTTACCCAAATAAAGTGTTGAAAGGTGTAAATGTAAAATCAATTTGAGAGAATGTTGAATCTTTGACCACAGACTTACAACGTATGGACAGTAGAAAAACAAATGCATCTGTTGTTCCCCTTCTTCATCACAGAATCTACATAATGGTGATAGTTCAATGTTAAAAATGTTTTAAAATATTTTGTAAACCTAGCTTAGCGTTATGACAGTTAGCAAGGTTGCATCATTCAAAGTGAAGCACAAGTAATACGCCAACCCGTGGCCACATCGTTACAGGATTAGACTGAGGTTAATGTGGTGTCAGTGGCTGTTGCATTGTGGAACTATTTGCTTAACCAACAATAGCCAGGGGCAGTGATTGTGTGACGCTTATCTGAGTCATGCGTCCACGTGTGGTATCATCATGTACAGAGACCAAAGGAAAAATCAGTGCACAGCAATCACTGTGACGCACACTATAGCTGAAGATGTTCCACAGAAGTATCCCATAGACATTTCTGTGTGTACACGTTAAACAGATTAAATGTTTACCACAGCTTCGAGTCATTTTGTTTAGCTAGGCTAAATATGTCCTGAATCCAGGTTTAATTACCAAGATATTGAACTATTTCACAACAGGAGGGTTAAATGAGCATTGACCAATCATTGATTCAACTGATTAACATGAACTAGTCATTTCAGCACTGAGCACAAATCACAAAGGGAACACACCAGTGTAGCTTCCAGCAGCAAAGCATACAGCACCTTCTATCACATCCGTTCCTCATGGTCATATACCTCAAAACTGCAAATATCTTGAACAAAATAATGAAATATGTGTGTCTCAAGGTGAAAAACCCAAGCTTTCTTCATCCGGCCTAGTCTTCTTTCAGGGCTGCAGCTAGCAGGATAAACAGCACCTCTATGTCTTTAAAAGCCTCGGTGCCCATGCTGTTACCAGGGCAACTAGTGAACAAACTGCTTCCGAGGCAATTTCCAGTCTAATAATAACTAATCGCACTGAATGAAAACTCCCCTCCAAGACACTGCCCTTTCCCCAAAGAATCTGGGGCAGGTTTGAGTCACTGGGATGCTCCTGTGGCACGAACACACATTTCATTACACACACACACACACACACACACACACACACACACACACACACACACACACACACACACACACACACACACACACACACAACACACACACACACACACACACACACACACACACACACACACACACACACACACACACACACACACACACACACACACACACACACACACACACACACACACACACACACTGCTGTGTCCACGCTGCAGACACAATGTGAATTACAGTGCTGTAGTCTTTTTTAAATGTGTGTTTCTTTGCATCACTGGATTGTCATGCAGCACCTTCTCCATCGGGCCTGGTAACCATGGAGACACCATCGCCTGTCTAATGTGTTGGAATATGCAAATATGAACAAGAATTGCTGGATGGAATACAGAAGGTGGGGTGGGGGGTGCATGCAGGTATGATCCTGAGCTATAACATGATGTTAAATCCCACTCACCATGTCAGTGTGTGACAGTGATCAGCACCATCTTAATGCTCAGTGCTGCCCTATGTGTGGATCCCTCCTGGAACATCTCCTTCTAGGTGCAACATTAATTAACAACCCCCACCCCCTGCAAAATAATAAATGAAATCCTTTCCCGTGGCAATGCTATAATAACCTTTTTTTGCAGCATGGCTATGGCATGTCGAGACAGAGAGAGGGAAGGAGGGGGACAGAGAGGGAGGATCTGTTGATATGTAATGACAATGACGCCCTTTGGAGAGGGAAAAAACACAACAGCTGATGCATTCACATAAAACCCCCCCAAAACACACCGTTTACTGACAGCTTTACCGTTAACGAAGTCAAAGGGAGGTTGTCCGACTTACCATTTCGGGGTTTAGCCGTGCTAAAATGGCGAAGGTGGACAGTCTGTCACACACGCATTTGGTTCTGAAGGAGTCGACTAGCACGGCTTTGCAGCCCCTGGCAGACCAGGATCCCAGCAGAGAGGAGCTACACGGGAGAAACACACACAGACACACACGTTCACACACACAGAGAGAGCGATGCGGTGAATTCAGATGCAGCCCCGGCAAAAGAGAAAACAGCGGTTCAAATCCCACCGCGTTACACCGGCTATTTAATCCACTTTACATCTCCGCCGGTAGCACAGGCGCGGAGAGGGAGCGGCGAGAGGAGCGGCAAGAGGAGCGGCAAGAGGAGCGGCAAGAGGAGCGGTGTGAGGAGCGGCGAGAAGAGCGGCGAGAAGAGCGGCGAGAGGAGAGCCGGGACCACACTTCCGACTGCCCCACACATTTAATGTGATTATTTGAATAGAAATAATCACAATAGTTATCAGGATTATTATTATTTATTATGGGTGCCTTGATTAGCACTTTTATTTGTTGCTGTTAAATGTCAGGTAAAACAGACAAAGACTGACAACGACTTCCTTGGCATGTGTGACTTCCTTTTTTATTCATCACACTGCCAACTGATTTACTATTATTATTATTATTATTATTATAGACGTTGTAGTGTAAGTAGCCTACTTTATTTTTATTTTTATTAATATTACTCACAATTACTATCCGACTTTATCCAATTATTATATAATACCCCTAATTTGTATTATTAATAATAAAACAACCATTTCTTTGCTTTGTTATTCCCCTTTGTATGCATATTTTTGAAGAATTGTCACATGGTGCCTTGATTAGCACTTTATAAAAAAAAATTGGAGCAGACAAAGCCTGAAAACATGTTTTCTTCACTTCACTGCCAACTACCCCGCCAATTTACTTTATTTGTATCCTTTTATTATTATTATAGACGTCCTATTATTAAGTTAGTGGCTGCATATTAAATTACTATAATACATTTTTAAATAAATATGACCCATAATTATCATCTGTATTATTATATAAACAAACTTTTATTATTTATAATTTATAATTTGAAAAATCCCTATGCCTACGAAGGGAATCACAAAGCGAAGGGATTGTGTCACGTGGTGAGTTGATTAGCGCTTTTATCTTTTTGTTAAATATCATATTAGTGAAATAAAAAACACCTTATTAACATTATACTGGCATTCCATTGCTTTGCTCATAATATTGTGGAGGAAAAGACGCTTCAGAACCCCCCTGCTGAAAACAGGTATATCTGTGTTCTTACCACAAAAACCCAAATAATTGATGATGGTTAGTTGGGAATGGTTAAGAATAAGTTAAACATCTTTCCTGGTGGCCTGAACTTTCCAAATTAGACATTTGTAGAAGTGGAAGACAAAGTTATTTGACATTTGTATAATTTCCTGTTGAAAAATGTAGATTGTGTCAGTTATAACGAGTAATGACTTTTGCACTAATAGTTCTTACATAGTGTATACTCCAAGTATTAGTGGTAATATTGAATAGGGAAACAGCTCTTCTCCATCATCATCACTTCACTATTCAGAGTGGTGCAAAGTCTTTTGTTGATGAATCAAAGCAGTTCGGCATACGATATAATTGATATTTCTCGCAATTATTCAGAGAAACTCAATTTAGCCGTGCTCCTGATACAGACTGGCCCTACATTACTCTGCTCCAGTGCACAGAGAAATTAAGCAAATATGTAAAAGTGATGAAAAACCAACCAAGTTTTATGAATTAACCACATGGCAGAAACAGGCGACAGACTTCAATTCTCTTCCAACAAATTTACATCCACTTGATTGACTTCAATTAACAGACTTGTGCAGCACGCAGGTTTGGACTTTAACTTGTACTCGGGTCATGGAATCCTAATTAATTTGTTAGGCACTGATAATAGGAAGCTCTTGAAATGTCAATAGTGTTGCATTTTCAAAAGACGCTCAGAGGAACCCAAAGAGTCTACACAGAGTAAAGGTCCTTACACACCAAACTGACACCAAAGAACACATCCCGACGGAACGTCGCCTCACGTCTCCTGCGTCTTGGCCATGTGTCGCACTGGAACACACCGCAAAGACTTCAGCCGACGGCCAAGTTGCACATACGAACTGCGCATGCGTGAGTGGCAATAACTCTCCTTACCAGCAGGCGGCGGTAGTGTGTATTCGTCATTTAAAAGAGGCAACAACCGGAAGACAGACTGCGTGATAACCGAGAGAAGAAGAACAGACTGCGTGATATAAACAAACAACAAATAGCGTGTGCGTTCCATTTTCACTCTACAGCGAGAAGCTCATGGGGCTTTCCCGAACCTGTGTTGAGAGCTGGGGTTAAAGGAAATCTCAGATTTGCCTTCTTAATAGTTTGTTTGGGTCCCTCACTTCCGTTTCACTTCTCATACACTGATTCGCTAGCTGAACAGCCAATCAGAGTGATTTCTTTAGCCGACAGCCTACCGATTCAACATGTTGAATCGGCGGCGGAAGGTGTCGGCACGGCCGAAAAGACACGACGGTGCAGTACACACCAATCTGAGTAGGGCGACACAACGCTCATCGACGGCCCGACATCTATCGACGCCGAAAATCGGCTTGGTGTGTGTCTTAAAACGTTCTTAAAGTATTCTGCATGGATTATTGTAACCATCAATTTCTCTTAATGGGTCAGTGTGTGTTTGGATTGCTAAAGGTACGGATGATCAATTATTGAAGACAATGACGGGTGTGACACACTATTTATATGGTAGGTAGGTAAGTGACCCAAAGGCTTTTTGATTCTGTTCCATATTATATATTAGGCAGTTGCCTCATAATTCATCTCCGTTACGACTGCTGCAGAAAACAACAGAAACCATGGGCACATCGTCTCTATTTCATTTATTACTGCCAAAATAAATTGTCTATTTCAGGGAGCTTTCTAGGAAATTATTATTATGAATAAACAGACCAATAAAAAAAAAAGCATTACAGTCTCTGTTAATACTTGCTGTTCAGGAACAAGAGACTCTGCACAAACCAGACTCAAGTGAAGCCAAATCCAGTGAAACTTTACACCAAACCTCAGATGTCTGTTTAAATTCATGATTTAATACAATGGGGTGAGAAATGTAAGCACAAACCAACATGAAGTCTGTTAGGTGTTGTTCCACTAAAGCCTCAAGAACAGGGTCCGATTCTCCTAGTATTCACTGAAATATGTGCTGGGATGATGGTGGAGAGCGATGTCCAATTCATTACTTCAAATTTCCCATGGATGTTTGGGTTGTATTGTGTTTTCCTTTAATTTATAAGCTGTCTGTATACCACCTTAACAAAAGTTAGGAGACAACCTCCCACACACATGAGAAACACATGGATGTGAGCCTTTTCAGAACATTCAAATGCACAACAACCTACAGTATAGAACACACTACAGGGGAGGGAAAACAAAAACAAAAAAAGAATAGAGCCTCTTTAAAGGTCACCTATTATGCTATATTTGAACAATATATTATAGGGTCATGTCTATACAAAACATGTCTCTGAAGTGTTTTGCTCAAAATACCAAACAGATCACCCATTGTAGCATGCCTCATACCCCTCTATTTCAGCCGTGTTACTAAAGTGCTGATTCTGGGTCTGGCCCTTTAAATGTAACCGAGTTGCTGTTGGCCACGCCCATTTGGAGCTGCTGCTGGCCACGCCCCTTTGGAGCGTCCACATGCAAGCAGTGAGCTCTGTGAAGAGAAGGCTGTCTACCAGCAGAAACTCAGCTAAACGCTGCCGTGATTAAACGCCATATCATGTTCCAAACCACATCAAGCATTATTTCTGAAACAGTATGGGGCTCAAGCTCTTACCACAAGGACAGTACCTTTTATTTCCTGCTTCTTTACTCATATTCTCTCCAGTAAACCGTTAGCTTTGAGTGTTAGCGATGCTTGCTAATGTAAACAAAGACAATATTACGTCCAAAACACGTCACGCATTGTTTCTGATACAGCGACGTTTCTGATAGGGGACGATAGGTTGGGACGTGGGCGGGACGTTGCCAGGAGTTCAACGTAAAGCCAGCCCACATTTTAGTAATGACGTCATGACCGCAGCAAATCTTGATCAGCTAATAATAATACATTCGATTTATAAAGCACCTTTCATTGCTAACAGCAATCCCAAGGTGCTACAGGAGGCATAATAAAAACAACAAAATAAACAACAGCTCCGTTGTTCCCCCGTTTTTAGAGATGTGGGTAAGGAGGAAAAGAGAGAGGGTTTTATTTTCTGACACTTTGTGAGTCTCCTAAAGAAATTGTATGGTGGTTAATGTTGGACATTTAAACAAATAAAACAAAAGTGCAAAACAACTGCACAGTTATTAGTGACACATCATGTTTTGCCGTAAAATAAGTATTTCTATCATGTCATTGAAGAAGTTGACTTTTGGTGCAGCAGTCTGTTGAGTGAACATCCTGTGTTCGCTAGACCCATCCACCAACCCCAACCTATTCCATATGCTCACTTGCCTTTGAAACATATTGATGGCACAAATGAAAACATAATCTGGGACAAACTTGAGTCAATAGATAAGTCAAAGTCTCCTCAACAACAATAGCAATAAGCTCAACAAAAAAAGGTGATGAGCAATACTTTTTTAAAGCCACATACTCACGTCGATTGATTTCATAAGCTCACAGAAATCTGGGACTGAGTTGAGTTGTGTGAGTGTGTGTGAGTGTGTGAGTGTGTGTGCCTACGTGTGTGCACATGTGTGTGAGAGAGACAGAGTTAGCCCCAGGAGGTGACTCAGTGCTGACATTAGCACATCACCTCTAACAGAAATCCAATATATTAAGACTCAGTGCTGTTTCTCTGTATGGCTGACGTGATTAGGCCTCTCTGTGATCCACACAGTGGCCTGCAGACAGCCCTGCCCCCCCCCCCCCCCCCCCTCCATCTAATTGGATAATGTAGGTGCTGGTCCAGCAGCCCTGCATGGAAGAATGTCCTCTGCCAAAAACAGTCCACGCGGCTGAAGCAGTCTGCCAGCACAGAGGGAATATAAACACTGATGAAGTCATCATGTTATCTCGGCCTGGGCAGGAGACTACACATTGAT